AGCAAGCTTGCTGCGGGCATGTACGGAACGTGGTTGGCTTTCTTGGCGCTCTGAAAAATTGACAGAGTGTCAAGCAAGCCAACCACTCTCCGTGCATGTCCACAGCAAGAGTACCTCAAATGGGATGAGTTAGGGCACATGACGCGGTTTCGTGCTAGCTAAGGTCGAACCGTTCAAGGGTTATCGAGGCTTCCGAAGGGTGGCGTGGTGGAAGCTGAGCATGATGGTGGGGTTCCGGTCTGAACGAGACAATCGCCTGTGGGTACCGTTGTAGCGAGTACATTCAGCCTCTCGCTGGGGAGGCTGTGTATCCAAAAATTAATCGACGGCGCTAGCTGTTGAGTGCACTCGATGGATTGGCAGGTCGAGTAGAGACGGGGGAGTACGAGAAAAGAGAGCCACGTGTTTTCATTTCACTTCATAGTCATGGCATGGTCGGGCGCGCTCGCGATCAGCGTGGAGGTGGTGGTCAGCAAGTATTGAACAAAAAAAAACACATGCATGAGAAAACGTTTTGTGAAGTGGCCTGCGACACGCATCGGAGGTATCTACGGAACTGGCCGAAACCCTGGCAGCGATCTTTTCCGTGCTTCGTTCGGCATTTCTTTCTCTGGAGGAAGCATTATATCTGTATGTACCATTTCGCCTGTTTTCGTGCTTCGGGACACTTTTTCGCTGGCGGAAGCGAGTCTTTTCTCACGCTTTCTTCTCGGCGGCACGCACAAGGCTCCGTGATACGGTAACGCTCAAGCCCGGAAGCTCGGCAGGCATCCATCTGTGTGCTCGACGCTCGAAGCGTCGCGAAAACTGGTTGAATTTCGCCGTTTTCACAAATGACAAAGCCTGGCGAACCAATACCGAACCCCATCAAAGGAGAGCGAGGCCGGCTTCTTTTTCATTGGTCAGCAGCCGCCGGTTGGCACGCACGGTCCATGCGAACGAAAGAAAACACAGAAGTCCCAGACCATGGCCTTTGGGAGCTGATTTTCGGTCGCGCTTGAGACTGACGTACGTTCATTGGTTCAGCCACCGGTTCACTGCAAACGATAGCGACACACACATGTGTTGCCGTACGGTGGGAACATCACCTGAAGCCGCTGTCGGTGAGGAGATGCCTCAAGGCTTCGATAACGACACACGCATGTGTTGCCGTACGGTGGGAACATCACCTGAATCCGCTGTCGGTGAGGAGATGCCGCAAGGCCTCCTCGAGCGTCATTCCGTGGAACGCGATTGCTCGGACGTACTGCAGCCGGATGGCCTTCCAGTAGTCCCCCTGTGTACGGTACGGTACAGGCCAACGGAAGGCGGCGAGAGGAGATGATCAAGTGGTTCCGGATGATTGAATGCGTCCGCGACTAAGGTTAGTGGGAGTGATGGCGGTATCTCCACTGCTGTGGTGTGTCGTTCACCGACCACAGAAACAGCAGCAGCAGCAGCAGCAGCAGCAACAACAACAACAGTAACTGTATCCCCACTGTGCTGTCTCGTTCACCGACCACAGCAGCGGCAGCAGCAGCAGCAGCAGCAGCAGCATCAGCAACAACGGCCACCCAAACAACAACAACAGCACCAGCGGCACCAGCAGCACCAGCAACAATGGCCAAACAACAGCAACAACAACAACAACAGCAGCAACGGCAACCGCGACAGAAAATCGCCAACCCTCACCCCGTCAACATCCGGCTCGCTCAAGAAGTCTCCGATGCTCAGGGGGTCCAAGTCCTTCTTGTAGATCCGCAAGAAGTTGGCGATGTCTCTAGGGGTGTCGGAGATGAAGTTGGACGCCACGAGGTGCTGAACGGCCTTCTTTAGCCCCTTGGTGCTGTACAACTGCAGGGCCTCCGTCACGACCTCCTCCGCACGATTCCTGAGTTCCTTGCAGTATCTGGGTTTGTATGTTTTTTTTTTTTTTTTTTGGGGGGGGGGCGTACTCTTATGTTTTGCATGCCTTAGCGGTTAGACCATTGACCACGCGTCCTCGAGAGGACGGAGCATTGTTCCCACAGGACCGATCACCGATGGCCAATCGTTCCTTCCTGGTTCTGTTTGGGGGGGGTGTCCAAAAGAAATCGAGGGGGTTGGTAGGGCTCAACCTCTTTCGAAGCTCCGGAAAAAGGAAGAACTCGCACCGTGGCCTCTCTCTCTGCTCTACCGCTGTATTTCAGCGACCACGACCACAGCAGCAGCAGCAGCACCAACGACCACGTCCAACACAACATTAACAGCAGCAACAACAACAACGTCAACAGCAGCAGCAGCAGCAGCAGCAGCAGCAGCAGCAGCAGCAGCAGCAGCAGCATCAACAACAATGGAACAACGACGTCCACAACGACGTCCACAACAAACACCAAACACACACAAACAAACAAACAAAAACAAAAAAATCTTGGACGCGAGGAAACAAATCCTCACTTGAAGCTCGTCGGCTCCCGGAAGCGCCTCCTGTTGTACGCACCCCCCCTCTCCGCCGCCCCCCCGGCCTCCGACATGGTCGACACCGAGGAGGTCCCCAAGATAGACTCCGCCCTCGCCGTCGACGAGTACGATACCACGGAACCCCCCGGGGATGGCAAGCAACCGCCCCCGCCCCCCAACAGCCCCACCCCCGGCACGGAGTCCACCGCCCCGCCGAACTCGCCGCTGCGAGGGTCTAGGTGATGAGCGCTGTCCCCTCTTCGGAGCGGGACTCCCGCCTGTCCCAAAAGGAGGCGTGATTCCGACGGCAAGGAGAAGATCTCACCGCCCCCCGGGGTTCCATCTGTGGTGGCGCCGTCGCTTTCGCCTCCCCTTGCGGAGGGAGAGGAGGGCCTCGTGCCGTCGGAGGGTGCCGTGTCCCACTCGCCGTGGCCGTCTGCGGCAGAGGCGGCGGCGGCGGCGGTGGCGGTGGTGGCAGTGGAGGTGGAGTCTTTGGCCTTCTTGTTGTCGCCGGACATGACGTAGTCGTGGCCGGCCGCGTCGGTGAGCCTCTGCATCACCTGTTGCATCGAAGAGGCACGAAACGATAGGAGCGTGTTGGCAAGCGAAAAGAGATCACCTGTTACATAGACGCGTGATACCAAACAACAATTAACACCCAACAACCAACAAAATAGGAAAATGTTGACAAGCGAAAAGCAGGGGATTGATCACACACCTATCGCATCGACTAGACACGGTGCGGAAAAAAATTGAGAGCTTATCCTGGAACGCGTTATTCACCTGTGGATAGACACGTGGATAGCGCTAGTTCGTGTGTACACAGAGGGAAGAGAGTGCTGAACTCTTCTCGCATTAAAAATTGAAGGCGAAGTACCGCAGGAGGGGAGGGTAGAGAGAGGCTCTTCTGTGTGACCACGGGTTGGAATAAATGGCACTAGTGCTGTGAGCGCTGATTTGAAGAGAAGAACAAAAAAAACAAAAAAAAAAAAAAGACACGAGTTTGGTTTGTTCATGTCAGAAAACAAACAAAACAGGAAACGTCCGACAAAAAAAAAAAAACACAGTTGTCTTGTGGCTGGATTCTGGCAAGAAACACTAACCAAAAAACAAACACAACTGACTCGAGAAGTCGCGTACCAGTAGTATTTTGTATTGGGACAGACCGGGAAAAGCAAGCACCCAAAGGACAAAAGAGTACTCGTAGCCTGCATGCTTTTTTTTTTTAATCGTTCCACTAAATAATACCACTTCAGTACATAAGAGGGCACAAGATTTCACCCAACGGCCTGTACACAGAATCTTGCCTAGTATTTCGGGCGCACCTTCGATTCACAGAACGTACTAGAGCGTTCGAATGAGCATATACATATTTTCGTCACAGGACAGGAAAAAAAAATAACAATTCGGCACCAAACTCGCGACACATGTTACGGTTCAGAAAAACGACGCGCAAAAGTGTTGGTTTGGCGACATATCATCACGGCTAACTTCAGTACATGGGGTTAAACAGAAGGAAATTCTCGACGTTTACCGCTGTAAAGAAAAGACTCTTCCCGTTGCACATGCGTTCGATTCGGGCGAGAACCAAAACCGCCCCGCGGCAAGCACGCTCCATGTCGCCCCGCGCTTGGGCGTCGCCATCGTCGGCTGCCACAACTATAAGTTGATGCGGAACATTTTGATGCGCGGTCCGAGCGTCACCAAAATTTTCGGAATCAAATTGAGCCCCTTTTCAGGTTCTGTGGGAGAGTGGTGGCAGCCGACGATGGTAAAGCCCCAAGCGCGGTGCAACCTGGAGCGTGTTGGCCGCGGGGCGGCTTTGGTTTGCCTGGTGGCCGCGGCGGTGCTGCGGGCACCGGGCGTGGTGCCCACAGCATGCATTTCCATGACCGATAGATGCCGGTGGCGACGGTGGGTGGCATTCATTGCGGTGGGGCTACCCAACTGCCCCGATTGCATGCTTAATCATCCAACATGTTTATCAAATAGAAAAAAACTGCTAAGGCTACTGGATTGGGGGCATTGTCTCGAACCGGAATGCAGTCTGTACAGTCTGAAACAAACAATGCGAAGACAACAACAACAGACAATAAACGCCCTAACAAGGTGTGTTGTCTGTCTCACCTCCGCAAGGGACCGAAGTGCCGTAAGACGCAGAGTCTGCTGAGCCTTATCGTCGACGGGTTCAGCCTGACCAATCAGAAACCACGAGTAAAAAACATGAAGGACATCATCACACCAATCAGCAACCATAAATAAAGCACATCAACGCCATCATCAAACACAGCGTACAGAGAGGGGGGGGAGAGGGGGGGTAGAACACGAGCCAATCAACGACAGTAAAAAGTGGATCAAGGCATCAAGAAAGACGGCATAGAGAGAGAGAGAGATAGGGGGGAGGGAGATAGACGAGGATCCAATCAACTGCAGTTACAAGTGGATCAATCACACACGGTTGAGGTATGTTCAGGCCAAGGAATACCGTAACATATTGCAGTCGATGTCGGGTGACCTTACAGAGAACAAAAAAATTGAACAATTCCAAAATTTCTACCAACCACAAAAGTCAGACAGCAAACAAGACAGAAGAGAAATACGACACATTACACATACGT